GCAACAATGAGCTAGAAAAGGGAGAGACAAAGAAAGAGAAAGAGTAGAGAAAGAGATGGCTTAACTGATGGGTAGTGAACTGATAGATCCTGAGTTCAGTAATGAAACAACGAGACTGACAGACCAGAGAATCAGAAATTGGTCTGAAGCTGGGAGTGGATGCAGGGCACTGGGGACTTTACAAGACTCAATGGAAACAGGCAACATGGCTGACTTGGTCTCTCTGAACTCATCACAGCTGTCTAGGAGGGCCGTGCCCTCCTCTCCTCTGTCCCCCCTCAGCTAAACAACCTCTTTGCCACCACAAAACTTTTATCATTTTAACTGTGAGTTCTTCTATTCAGCACAATTTTATTTCTATTTTCCTTTCTTTTTATGAGAATCCCCCACCGGCATCGTAGATTGTTTATATGGTGGGTTCAAATAAAATAAAATAATAATAATAAAAGCAAGCTGGCAATTTCTTTCCAATAGAATATGCTGCATATTTCATGAAATACAAGCCAGAGGAGTTTTATGATTCCTGAACCAAAACCTTCCCCTATCCAAGGACTAAATGGAAGAAAAATACAACGAGCATCTCACAGAAAAAGAAACCTGATCATTTGCTCTCCAACCTAAGGGAAGTGTTCAAGAGATTCATTGAGTTAATGTCTTTTTTTACATGAGTTCATATCTTGATATGCATTTCATAGATTGAGTTCAGTGCTAGTTTTCATGGACATAAATGCACTCACCAGAGGAGGAGTTTTCTTTCCCTTCTGGACACCAGTTACTAGCAGGATATTTAAGTCTCAGGATAGCAATGGCAAACGGAAAACTTTTTATTATCAAAAATAATTTTTTTTAGTCTCAGTGGAAGGGTAATATTAAAGCTAAGTAGCATTATGTGGTAGGTAGTGTTCAAGCACTATGGGCTAATTCCTGTAAACAACACAAAAATCTCATGGGGTAGATGCAATTATTTTTGTATAAAGAAAACTGAAGCACAGAGAAGCTGATCAAGGCCACACAGCTGGCGGCACAGGTGTGCCTGAGACCATGCTGTCTACCACCCAAGTCCAGACTTTCAACCACAGAATCTGCTTACCACAATTGTTCAGCAACAAGAGCTGTAATAAAATTTCTGCATACTTAATGAATATTTTAAGAATAGGCAGGCACCAACCAATACCTGTTACAAAGTCGCGATATTCAAAATGCCTACCAGCAGCCCCATTTTCAATGGCAATAAGTGTCCTGTGTTGTTAGCATTTGAAACCGGAGCAATTTCTAGCCTGCTTCTACAGAAACTCAAACCCAATATTTCCCATTAAATTTTACAACCAATCTGGAAGAGGCTGGATCACAGCCTCACCCAGTGTCTGTATTAACCATAGTGGTTAGGACAGACCCTGGAACCAGAATGCTTGGATTTAAATCCTAGTACTATATACTTTAGTTGCTGTGCGACCTTGGTTCAGTTACCAGATATCTCTGTGTCCCAATTTCCTTATCTATCAAATGGAAATGTGAATACAAGTATCCATTTGCTAGGCTCACTTAAAGATTAAGTACATGGATGAATACAAAGTCCTTCAAAGAGTGGCTGACTCTTAGTAAGTTCTCCATAAATGTTAATTACTCCCTTTTTTATTAATAAGAAAGACAATTTGCTAAACATCACAAAGTCTGGCAATAGCTGAATTCCAGCATGGCCTTCCAATTCCAAATTCTCTCCCAACAGAGTCCCATGTTATTATTAAAAGTTACCTTTCCCATAAAATCACTCCAATTCCCCAACATAGGCAATCTTATCCCTGTTTTTCCGACGATGAAACTGAGGTTCTGAAGGTTAAGTAATTTATCCTGGATCACTTAACTCATCTGTGAACATTTTTTGGCACAGTAAGACCTAAATAACATTTAAAGTTCCTGACAACAGCCTCAATTAATGCAATTTTTTAAAAAATGTCACGTAAAAGACATAAACTGTGATTCTCTTGCTTTGTTAGCTTTATTAGTTTGAGAGATGGATTAAATTCCTGCAAAAACAAAATGTTTGACTTGAGTGAATTATCAAAATGAAATGCTGTCTCAATTAGATTCTTCATCTGCCTGCAGGGTTGCTCCAGGCATCTGAAATCCACCAAATGCAATTTTTAAGATGGGTACTATCAGGTACCAAGCCAAGCCATCCACCCATTTAAGAAAAATTACTTTGGAGGGCAAAGGGTAGTGAAGAAGCATATTCCTCTCTGGCTTTGGGAGGAGAAAATGAACAATAAGTGATACCATCTCTTCCCTGCAGCCTCACACAATGGTGTGTCTTGCAAATGAAACATACTGTGAAACAGCTTGTGAGATGAGCTTCATCAACAATAAGTAAATTTTATTCAGATTTTATTGTTGAATACAATGAACATGATTTAATGTTTCAGATAGGCCTATTCAGACCCTCAGCAAACCACCCAAAAAAAAACCCAAAACTACTAAAAATCATCATCTAAATCTGCTTTAGGAAGAGATTTAATTGCCAACTTAATGTGTAGAACTGAATTCCCACTTGATAGTGGCACTGTTAGCAAGATGATAGTAAAAACACGTTTGCTCTTCCCACCTTGCCCTCTTCTCTCATCCCTGGTGATCCTCCCAGCGTTGCCAAATAGTTACAATGTCAGCCTTTCAAATCACAGCATTTTGAACTTCCTAAACCCTTAAGAGGGCCTCTGTGTAAGGAAAAGAACAATAGTGCTTCAAAAGCCATTTCTGAGAGTTCTTCAATATTCCATTTCAATGCTGGGGTTTCAATCAAGGACGTCAGCAGACAATTTCTGATTGCTTAGAAGTTGACTTTTATACAGCTTTGATTAGGTTTCCCTTCTCAATAGGAAATCAAGAAAATCTTTGATCCTTTTCAGATTCCATAACTGTCACCAATCCTTGTCAGGACAGGGCATCAACGAGATTGGGGTGCTTGTGGAGAATTCCTACTCCAGCCAATCTCTCCTCTTCCCTGCTCCCTTCCCCCCACCCCATCTTCTTGCCCTTTCAATTCAAGGTTCCATCCAGAATCCCTCCTCCTTGAGATAATAAAAACAATGGGTGCTAATTCAGGGGGTGGGGATGGTTTATAATTTTATGGATTTCCCAAAGACCTATAATTGGCACATAAATGTACAAACGTGAACCGGATAATTAGGGGGTTCCGAACATAAGCCACCTTTAATTTATATGATTACTTGAAAACACGTTAAGTGTTATGAAGTGTCTGTGGAACCCCCACAATGCCTTTATTCAAAACCGTCAACACTGTGAAAGTGCCTCGAAAGGGCCAGCAGGAGGAGAACAAGCAGGAGGTTAAAAAAAAAAAAAAAAAAGACAGTAGGTTCTAGTCCCAGTCCTGCTGGCTGGCAAGCTAGGAGCTGCACGGTAGCTTCCATCCCTCTCGGAACTCGCCCGCCCAGCTCCCTGGCTGCCTGGCTCCCACTAAGCACAAGGCGCACTCGCTACCAAAAGCTCCACAAAGCGCTGGTTTCTACGCGAGCTAAGCCCGGTTGTGCACATCCAAACGCACACTCAGCCCGGACCCCGACCCGCGCGGACACGCACCCCACCCTAGTCAACACACGTTGAAGCGCACAGCCGCCCGCGCAGCGGCGCTCTCCACGCCGCCTTCGCCACTGAGCATCCGGCGGCAAGCGGACCACGGTCCCCAAGCGCCCCGACAGCCCCCGCCCCCACCCCATTCCTTCACTCTCCCAGCCCGGGCGGAAGTGCCCAGGCAGACCCCCAACAATGAAGACTTGTGTGAGGCAGTTGGGGGTGGAGGGTAGTTTACAGGGAGTGAAACAGTCGGATGAGTCCGGGAGGGAGCGAAGCAGGAGCCTCGCCAGGCAGCTTCCCCTAGTACCCATTTGCACCTCAACCCCGGCCCCCTTCTTCAACACCACCAAAAGGGGAAAATGGGAAAGAAAAAGACCTGACGTGACAAGAAAAAGGGGGGGGGTGAGGGGGCTTTAAAAAGTGCGGAGAAGAGACTCGCCCTCCCACCAAGGGTCACAACAGTTGTCCACGGGACCGAGCCCGCTGGAGGGGCAGAGACACGACCGTAGCCACCACCCTCACTGTGAAATTTACTTTGTACACTCAGCCACAGGCTCCGGCCCGACGCCGCGACACAATCCCATCCCCATCTATGTATCCCTGACTCCAGATTGTCGACATTGGAGTCCTCCTTTTAGGGCTCCTTTATGAACCGAAGCACCGGAATTTTAAAGTTTCCCCAGTAGGGGGAAAAGAAAACCCTGTTCCAGTCTGGAGCACAGAGGAGCCAGAGGAAAAGCCTGGGGAGCGCGGCCGGCTATCCCCGGGGCCTGAGGAGTGGGTCGGACGTGGGGGGCGGCTCAGTGCCCACTCTGTGGAGGACCCCGAGACGGGTTGGAGACCAAGGGGATGCGAGGTCTGGCGCTTAAGACATCTGCGAAAGGGTTGGGGTTACTGGGATCGATCCGGGCTTGGACAGGTGGGGGACAGAATCGCAGCACTACCGAGGAAGAGGGAGGTGAAACCCGGGTTGGGCGAGTAGGAAAGAGAGTCCGGTTTAGGGACCACCGCTAGTGAGGCCGAGGAAGGGCTGGGGGGTTGGGGGGGACCGAGGAGGTTTGGGAGTGGGAAAAAGAAGGTCGCGGACAGGACAGAGCCGGGACCGCCGGCGGCACAGTGCCGGGAGTCTTGGGAGCGAGACAAGTGTCCAGGGTGAGCTGGGAGCCCGGGAGAACCAGGGAGAAGGAAGGAGCAGAGGTCGCCCCTCTCCCCCCAGCCAGTGGAGAGTAGGCGGAAAACTGCGGTGGCCACCCTCACGGCAATCCGTGCCAAACTCCCGAAAGCGGGGCCCCCAGGAGCCCTCCTCCTCGCCCGGGGCCCCAGTGAAGCCACCCGGGCACCCCGATGCCGTGGCCCCGCCGGACACCTGCGGGCGCCGAACTCCAGCGCAGCCGCGCGCCCCCGCCACCTCTCACCTCGGCTCGCCGCGAGCATGTTCCTCCGCAGCCGCGGCCGCCCAGGAAGCGGCTCTCCATGCCCGGCGGGCGGCGGCACTCAGGCGCGCTCTCCAGCCCGGGGAAGCCCCGGC